GCTGAATTTTTCTTTCCACAGCAATGCAGCGTGTTGGCAGACTTCTCCCAACCAAGTTCTTGTTAAGTGCAGAAGGAAATGAGTTAACTTAGCTCCTGCTGTTAAGCCCTGGAAATTGTGGTTAAGTAGTCAGCCATCATAAAAAAGTTCAACATTTGGTTTAAATATAAAAGTCTTCTGATTGTTAAATCAGCATCAGAGACGGACAAAAATTAGTTTATTTAGAATTTCTGTGCAGCTGGTGACAGAATTTATGTCATTTTCAACAGGAATTGCTGCCAGTAGGAAAGCAGCTAGCGCCAGATTTACTTAATATATGTTGTATGTTTCTGTGACTCGTCTCCTACAATGGTTGACAAGTTAAAAAAATAATTTACATAATTCCGTATTTCTAAGTAACATAAAATAAATATCTTCTTAAAAGTAAATATATAAAGTACGGAAATACTCAGGAGCAATAACACCAGGTCACAGTTTAGTGTTTGAATATTTGGAAGCTCTCATCAGGTTTAGTGGGCTGGATTGATTTGCCTTAATAAAATCAGCTTCTTGTTCAGAGAGAAAATTCAGCAGCTGAAGTGATGCGACATTAGATGATTTTACAACAGCTGATATAGCAGTTCAGTCATTCAAGTATCTAAATCTCCTAAAAACATTCCCATAAAATAGATAACCTGAGTAATTCTTTGAAATGGAACTTGGTATATCATATGTGTCTTTGGAACTTTTACCCCGTAGGGGCCAAGAAGGCCGACGGCATCCTGGCCTGTGTGAGAAACAGTGTGAGGAGGAACAGGGAGGGGACCGTCCCCCTGTGCTGGGCACTGGGGAGGAAACACCTGGAGTGTTGTGTCCAGTTCTGGGCACCTCAACCCAAGAGTGTGCGCTCCCTCCAGCCCCTCGAGATCTCTCTGGGGTCGAGGTGCCCAAAACTGGACAGTTTTGGGCACCCCAGAGAGATCTCGAGGGGCTGGAACTGTGTCCAGTTTTGGGCACCTCGACCCCAGAGAGATCTCGAGGGGCTGGAGGGATCACACACTCTGGACACAACACTCCAGGTGTTTCCTCCCCAGTGCCCAGCACAGGGGGACGGTCCCCTCCCTGCTCCTGCTCCTCATCACACCATTTCTCACACAACTTATGCTGGGAATTACATCCCAGACTTTTTTG